AAAATATCCCCCCGTTTGTTTTCTACAGCTCCGGAATAATTTGTGTTAATTTTGGTCGTTACGCATTTACCCATTACGGTGACATTTAAGCATGCCTACAATGTGATTTCTTCTATTTGAACTTCACTTTCCAATACTTGCTGCCAAGCTGAGACATGATGTATATGTCCGCCAACGACTTAAAACACTTGATAAGTTAAAAACAATTTAACGGCATCACTTTGAGCAGCTAAATCTAGCAACAACAACAAAACCACACGCCATTAATTTTTCTAAAATATTTAAGTGTCTAACACCTGAATGCAAAGCTAGACCATGCTAGCATGCTACTTAGCTTAAGGTCAACCACGTTTACGCTAACTAAACCATCATACCTGCTCTCTTTCGACGATGGTTCATCGTCTGACTTCCTCTCAGCCACTTCTTCTGTGAGTTTAATGTTCGCAAACCTGTTCCCTGAAGTGAACCAGTCCGATATTTGTTCAGCGGTAAATATTTTCTTCATTTTGCGCCAGTAATTGTATTTTTTTCCCCACTTCGCTGTGATAGCGGGTAACACGAAGACGAAAACACGTGAGGCAGGCGCAGCTCTAACGTCTCCCACTGGCGGTTGGAATAAAAATGGCAAGTCTACCTGTCTCTCTGTCTGTTTTTTAAATGAACCTTATAAACAAGTTATCTGCACCCACAGAAGATACACCACGAACAGGTTAACCAAAATTGTTATAGTTAATACTGTACTAGTCATAGTATTATTGTATTTTTTTTTAAATTTCGCTTCATTTTAATTATTATTATTATTATTATACGAGTATGTTAATTTTTCTGCTCTTGGTTTGTTTTTACATGACTAACAAATGAAAACATTTTAGTTAACTGTAATACCTTTGGTATGTGGAACTAGGCAAGAAGATAATTATTGTATACGATTTTGTCACAATAATGATAGCAACCAAATAAAATATTTCTATATTAAAGAACAAAATCAGAGAAATTACTATCAATTATGACTTACCTGTTTAGGTGATCTCCACTATTTTTTAAACCACTGAAAGCTAATTAGCTTGGATGTTTTATATCTAAAGACATACTTGACAGCTTAAAATCAGATTTATGTTTGTGCACTGTCTCATGTAAAATGCCAAATAAATTTCTTAAACAGATGTAAGCATTTGTGTTAACTTAATATTTAGCATAGTGATTTCTAAGGTGTGGGCTTGGATGTCCCACTGGGGCATGAATTTAGTGAAGTAATCAGAACTCATAGAACAAATCCAAATGACTTAAGTTACCAGGTATTCTGTCCCATATTTTCTGTCATTAGTGAGTAAACAGGTAGAAAGGAGCAGTAACTATCAGGTAGGAAATGAGAAACTGCAAATAAAGTAAATAGAAAATTAAAAGAGGATAAAAATGAATCTGTGAAGCCAAAGAGAAGATACTTCATCTTCATTTGTGTTAATCAGATTTCTGATTGAAGCTTTGGGGAAGTGCAGAAATTCTTTATATTCAATTGGGCCATTGTTAGAGTGAATTGTTAAATGTTTGTCATTTTTATGTTTACCATTTGTACATTGTTTTAACTCTGTGAAAGGAATTCTTTCTGTCCTCCCCTCCCCAGATTCTCGAGGTTCTGAGTGGGGGGGGCAGTAGTGTTTTTATCACAGGCACATCCTTGTGAAGGTCTGTTTGATGTTGGTAAACTTCCTCCCCTTTGTATGGAGCGCGCACACACACACACACACACCTACCTTAGAACCATGTGGGCGTGGCTTTGTTCTGATGTTTTTTTGTGTGAACTGTCTCTCAATAAAAGGCAGCAAGGGAGGTCAGATGTGAGGTCATTTTCGTGGTGGACACGCACGATTGATCGATCGACTGTCTTGTTTTCTTCATGATGAATAAGTCTCTAGAATTAGCGGGGCTTGTGGAAACACAGACCCAACAGCCATGACATTCGTAAGTTTAACAAGGATGATTTTGGGGATTCCTGCGTGTTCAGATAAAATAAAACATTTGATCCAGGCTGCCGACCAACATAACTGACATTTCAAACTTGAGAAAAGAGGAAGAAAATTTAATCTGCAGAGTATTGTTTTATAATTTTGTTTAAATTAGTGGCATTTACAAAAACGTATTTAACTTGTGCTAAAAAAAAACAAAAAAAAAGTGAAGAGAAGAAAAAAGAAAAGAAAGATCGAAGATTAAGAAAAGAATTCCAGTATGTGGAGTATACATCATATGCGTAAAAATGGTCAATTAGTCGGCAACTAAAGGAGCGAATGCCCATATGTACAGAATATTCATAATGCTTCAAAGTCATTACAACACAGCCACACACAGGTCTATAATGGACACCGACAAAATGTGAAAGCACAGAACTCCAATAACCTAAGGAGAACAACGTGATATCAACCCTTAAATCCTAAGCGAGGACCAAGAAAACGTGTGAGCCTGTCACTGTAACGATGAGGTTTAGTCACAGCACATGTGTCAAAACCACGTCCAAAAAACAACCCGAATCGTAGACAAATAACATCTATGGCAAGAAAAAAACAAATAAACAAACTTATATTTAAAAAAAAAAAAAAGAAAAAAGAAAAAAAAAAGATTTGACCGTTCAAACAAGCATCAGAGGTTTAACTCCAGCGGTGGACATCCAGTGTTCTCTCGCATTAAGCTAATCTCCGTTCGGAGCTTTTCGTTTTCCTTGAAAACACAAAGAAATGCACAGATTTGATTGATGTCATGAGTTATCAGTATTCACCTGGTCATAGAAAAGCCTTCTTTAATCTTAGAGGAGAACATAGTTACCTCCTGAAGTTTTGTGTTGTCCTTCTTAAGCTTAACGAGATACTCAATCCTCTGTTTGTGATTCTTGTGTCCCACAAGTTTTCCATTCTCCTCAGACAGCTTAATGTTCTGTTTACGGAGAACCTCAATCTCCTGTAAGAAAGCACAAAAAGTTGCAGAAGTCACAAAAGCCTCCTGTAGGTTCACAAATGTGCAATATGCTAGACCCCGACCCATAGCTAGCTAGATAGAGAGATTTTATATATGAAAATGTATAAGGCTAAAGAAGAGAGGGGAGAAACACCCTGAACTTCCCTGTTAATAACACAGGGAAGATCCAGAATCAACCAGCTGATCAGAGCTGAGTCAGGCAGAACATAAAGGAGTAATCCCCAATTCATAGTGACAATAAAAAAAAAAGATTTTAAAACTGCACTTTAAGGACTCATAAATAACTACACATAACAAATGTTAGAAAAACAAAACAACAACTCCGTTGGCAACAGTATTAGTCTTAAAAATACTATATTGTCTTTGTAAATCTGGACCCAGTGTTCCAGATGTAAAATGAGACGGCTATGCATAGCACAATCTTTGTATGGCACATGATTTTTACCTGGATTAATTTCTCTTCCTCCACTATCCTCTGGTTCGTCTCTCTCAGCTCTAGACAGCGGTTTCTCAGCTCAGTGGTGAGCTCTTGAATGCAGGTCTGAGACTGAACCAACATAGACTCCTGCGCCTGCAATCTAATCGCAGAGAGGAGAAGAAAACAGAGCAGGCTGTAAAATCTGAAGCTTAAAAAAAGGTTTGAAGAAGCATTATGCAAGAGCAAACAGATCAATCTGATGACACCAATCCATGCAGATGCTTACTTTTTTTGAGTTTCTGAAAGCTTCTGCATCATTTTGCTCTGTTAATAAATACAAGAGAAACAGGACATGAATAATTATCGGTAACTTCATTAATGATAGAATTTTAAAGCAGAAGAACAGATCCAGACCTTCTCTGTTCTCTCCTCATCTAGCTCTTTAAGAATGGAGTGCTTGAAGGCTTCATTCAACTCTTCACTGAAACACATGCAAGGCAGAATTATTTATTTTATTTATCCTTTTTCATTATAGGTGGCCTGAGGATTGCATAATCTTCAAGATACTCAACCCATTATTATTTCCATTTTGGGTCATCTGGTTCTGCTTAGTGTAAAACTTATCAAGCAAAGCCTGGATCTCCATTCGAACCATCTCTTTCTCACTGAGCTGCGTCTGGGAGAAAGGCAATACAGTATATGAATGTTGTATATATTCAAATAGGATGCATTCATGACAAGCATTTCATGAAAAATGCAAATAAAAAAAATATTTAAATACAGCAACTTCAATAAGAACTTCATAAAGAACTTATTCGAATCTATAAAAACAAAGCTACTTGATATAAATCAGTCTAATTATGAAAGATTATAGATTCATTAATTTTTCCACAAATATACCTTAAGCCGTTCGATTTCCTCATTTTTGGCAGCTCTCTCAGCATTCAGCTCTGATAAAAGAATTTCCATGGTCATCATGGAAGAGCGTCTATTCTCCAGCTCCCGCTCCTGGATTTCCAGCACCTGGCTCAGGTCCCTGTTGAAACTTCCAGGGGTACAGGGTGTCTTAAATTTAAAAAGAGGGAAAAAAGAAATAAACAAGAAAGTTTGTATATGCTATGTTCTTAAGTGCAAATTTAAAAACATACATTTATGAAGGGATATTTAACTTCTTCACGTTCACCAGGTATGTTAGGGCTAGGGTTTGGTTAAACAAGCACACATGGTTGATAGGCAAAGATTTTACACTTTCTGACACAAGCCTCTACTTAACTTCAGCTTGTGACACCCTGACGTTTGGTTTTTGTGTCTTCTTCTGGTGTCGCATTAGAGATCTTTCATATGCAAGGTGAACATGTTAACCATGAGACCACTGAGCCATGACTTGCAGCTTCTCAATTTGGGTAAGCCATGGTTGGATGTTAAGCTAAATTTGGGCACCAGTGACCAGGTAGATGTTAAAAACTTCGTATTTAAAAACATAAGCAGGTTTTACCCGAGGAAACGATTTAGGCGTTACTGTCGGCTCAACGGGTGGCTGGAAAGCTCCATTCCTGATAGTTTTCTCGACAGCTTCTTGCTGTCGTTGCAGCTGGTAAAAGGTAGAAATTAGGGAAATTGGTAACATTGATGTGTTATTTGATTGACTTAATTGAATAAATAAACAAAATAAAATAAAAAAAACTTTACCTTCTGCTGCAGATTCTGTATAATGACATCCTTCTTGGCGGTTTGCTCTTGAGATGCCTGCAGGAGGCTGTTTTGCTCATCTAAGACTTTAGTAAGCCTTTCAACCTCCTCAGTGGCATAAACAATCTCCTCCTGCAAAACCTCAACCTGAAGACACACAATATATACAATTTGTATCATTCAACTCTATTCTTTGCTCTTAATTACTTGTGATGAATCTACAAAACACCACAAATTCATTTACAGTCGTTTCATTACCTCTATTTTGTTGGATGCCACCCTCCTGTCTAAAGTTTCTTTCAGGTCACAGATTTCTTCCTGCATCTTACACTTTTGCTCCTTGATGTTGTCCCTTTCACAGCATGCAGCGTTGCATTTGGCCTGGAAGAGCAATGAGATTAACTGTATAAAAATGCACTATAAAATGGTTGTGTAACGTAAAGGGTAACTACAGCAAACAGTATAAGGATAACGTAGGAGTAAGATTACAGTGATGTCTCTGATATCTTCATTAAGATGAACAATGGTCTGGTCCTTGTGGCTCAGCTCACTGCGGAGGTCTCTGGTTTGGTTAATAAGGTCTAAAACAACATCCTGTAAAACATTACAAGCAGTTTTTAGAAGGGCAGTAGAAATACAGAAGCCATATTTGAGGAATTA